AGTTAAGAAATTAATTTCACAAAAAGAAAAGATGAACAAAAAAAAAACAAATCTATCTGTTTTTAGTTCACATACATCATTGATGAACAGAGATTGAAACGAGCGAGCGATTTATATGACTAGATCGAAAAGAATAATCTTCATGGTATCGAGAAATATATATCGATGGAATTCTTCTTTGGATTGGGAGTCAGAATATCAGATATTTATACGAAACAAACGAATCAAAACAAAAATTCTCGATTTGTTTCATCCAAAAAAAATATCAATTTCAAAGGTGTGTATACGATGAACAATCGTAAACAGATAAATATTATTTTATCATCTGGAATATATTCTTATATATGACCAACTGAGGTATGTTCAGATTTCCAAAAAAGGAAATTACTCACATTTCTGAAATTTCCATCAGCTCGATAAAGTGCAAATCAAAAGTTTTTAGACATATTGGAAATTTCAGTAATTCCAGAAATTTCGGAAATTATATCATTTTAGGAAGTAACGTAAAATTCAGAATACAAATACTTGAAATTTCCTTTTTAGGAAGTCTGAACACTCCTGGATCAACTAATTATTACTGTTATAAACAAAGATTTTAAACTGAATAGTAACGAAAAGAAACATTATGATGGTCTTTGATTTTTATACATGATGTAGATTTTCACTATTAGAATCAACAATTTCTATAAATTATATTTTGGAGATATCTACGTGTGAGAAGTTACCAAGTAACGGGGTAATGGAAAATTCCTAGATATAATTCTCTTGTTAAGGACAGACTATTTTGAGACAACAACGACTTTTTATAAAGTTTAATTAAATGTTTTCAAGGTTGATCAGTCTCAATATGTAATCAGTTTCTCGAAATTTGTGTATTTGATTTCTCGGTCAAGTTATTTCTAATTCGAAGACCTTGGATCAAACTTTATAAAATGTCGTTACTTTCTCTGCATAGCCTTGTCTTGTCGAAAGAATTAAATTCACAAATTTCCCGTTACTCGGTAAAGGCATTGTTATCGTTACCGGCAACGTAACGGTAACTTCTCTTGCTTAAAGCAATCAAATGGAAGAAAGATGAAGGTTCATCCTTTTCAATTATGAATTTTTTTTTTTTTTAGTATAATTGCTATGTATTATACACTATCGAATGATCTTATTACAAATGAAAATAGTTAGATATTTATTCGAATATGATTTTCTATGCTGAGATTTAGATGAATTACTTTTTATATATTTTCAAAAAAAAAAAGAATCGAATGATGAATGTATGTGCCAATATGAGTTAAAATATATCTCTCATGATTTCAAAGGACATTATTGAGTTCTATATACTGAGAATACAACTATAAATTGATTCTTATCAATTATTATGTACAATATCTGATTGAAGCATTTGATGGTCATCCATGATAATAAAGTAGAGGATTCATTAAGAGCTTCTCGGGAAGAAAAAACAACGAAGGAAGGAAAGAATTTTATTATTAAGCAAAAAATTAATCAATAATAATTATTTCTAGATCCAATTCACGTAGTAAAAGTCGAACACGAAGTCGAAGTCCTAGACAAACAAGCAATGGTCATTCATCAAGACGTGATAAAAAGTTAATAACTTTATTTTATTTTTATTTTTATTTTTGTAAAAACTCTCATTTTAGAAGTCGTAGTCGTTCTGAAAGTAGTCGATCATCGAAGGATCGTGAACGTTCATATAGTCGTTCTCGATCACGTTCACGTTCTAAATCGGATAGTCCAACTCGATCAAAAGAACGACGATCACGAACAAGAACACGATCAAGATCAAAATCTCGTGGTAGTCGATAAATTATTATAACAAACAACAACTCTACTAATTATAAATATATATATATATATATATTTTTCTATCATCAAATATAACTCAGAGCAAAAAGATATTTGTCTTCTGTGTGTGTGTATAATCCTATAAAATGCTTTTGAAAAAGTATAATTTGTTTGAACTTATATAATGTTTTGTCTTCTTCGAAACTGTATTTGTGTTTTATAAACAATATATGTACTCTTAAATATCTATTCAGTTTCTTCGTTTTTTTTTTCTTTCTCTCTTGTTATGATTCTTGCTGTTTGATTTAATGAAAGAAATACATATCGGTGTCATCAAGAATAAAAAAACGACGATTATTTTCTCATTGAAATTCTATCAAGAAAATATTAATGAATAAACTAAGTGGGCCCAAGCATGACTTTAAGTGACTAGCTTCAAGGAGAGAATAGAACTATTATATATATATATATGTAGTCAGTTCTTTTTCTTATTCATGTCTTTGGTCAATGAAAGAAGGCAAAAGAAAGAGAGAAAAGACGTGAGAAGATTTTTCTTTGGTACCATTGCGCAAGAGAAACAGAGAGAGAGAGAGAGAGAGAGAGAAAGATGAGGACTATTTTTTCACACGAGCTCATTCTAAAACAATCATATTTATTCTCGGTGTGTATGTGGACATTTGCAAGTTAATCTATAAGTTATGTCGACGATCACTTCTTTTCTTCTTTATCTACTTTTCATTTATTTTATAATGATCAATGGACAAACTCATGTCGAAGGTAAATTAAAATGATTAAATTAGTTCTATTATCTATGTGACTATGTCATAATTTATGATTAAAATATTAACTGGTATTATCAACATTTAGATTAAATTCAGATATTTTTGTTCAAAATATAAGATTATTTTTTCTTGTTTTGTTTTTTTTCTTTGTATAAAATATACGTATGATGATACTAGTTTCATTCTTCTTTTCGTTCATTTGGTACTGACAGGTACAAGGCAAAAAAAATACGTCGGTCACCATCGTATGTTTGAACAAGAAATGGTCGAATATGAAAGAAAAGGCATTTATCAACGAACACTTCATAATTGAGAACGAATGTGAGAATGAATTCTTGTGCAATACATATATACATACATACACACTTCAACACAGACGATTGAGATGTTGGGTGTCAATCACATCATCTCATTCAAGTGTCTGACGGATAAGATGTCTATTGATATAGACAAATAGAAAACGAAAAAAAAAAATTTTTATTTCAATTAAATAATTTTAAAAAAAACATCTTATGTTTTAAGTAATTGACGTTAGTGATGATCCAAATTGTGCAAAATGTGATAGTCGAGCAATATGCATACGTCTATCAAATACAAATGGTATCAGCTGTATATGTCTTCCCGGGTTTGTTCTGTCGTCTTCAACAGGTCGTTGTGTTCTTCAAGGTAAGATTTTTTTTTTCTTATTGTTACGTAAGAAATATTCTTCTTTAATTTCTTTTTTGTTCCTTCCGCATACCTGACAAAAGAGCGTTAAGGCATTATTCTAGCATCCGTTCAACAATTATACTTAATTAATACATATTTTAAGTGTCATTTTTTTTCTTGCAGAAATTCCATACAATGGTATATGCGATAGTCGTTATGAATGTTTTAATAGAGGTTCGTTGACTTCTTTGATTATGTCTATTAAAGAAGAATGAAAGAAAGAAAGAATTTCCTTTCTTTTGTTTTTTTCAAGGTTATTGTTCAAATGTAACAAATAAATGTGAATGTTTATCGGGTTATGGAGGTCTTATGTGTGAATTGGATATAAATGAATGTGCAAGTAATGATCGTATTTGTGGTTCATATTCTTGTACAAATCTACTGGGAGATTATAAATGTGATTGTGATTTTTTTCATTCAGGAAAACAATGTCAAAAAAGTAGATACAAAAAAAAAATAAATCTTTGGTTTATTTAAATATTTTTGTTTTTTTTTTAGTTAGTGCTGTAGGTCTTTTTGTGGTAATTATTTCAACAATTACAGTCATATTAATTTTTGTCTTCCTTATTTTATTTGCTATTCGTACATTTTTCACTTATCGTTTATCAAAACGAATTTCAAGGTTTTGATTTAATAGATTCTTGTTGAATTATTTTTACAAGTAAATTAATCATTTTAGAGAACGTGAATTTCAACTTCAAAATCCATGTTTGGCTACATTAACAACTGGTGGTATGAGAGGAGATGATCTATTATCAAATGGATTATCATTTATTCGTCCTATTGGTCATCGAATCTATGTACCTATGGAAACAAGTTTTCTTAATGCAATGCGTTTTCAAGCCAATATAGATGATGATGAGAAAAAACAGATTCAATCATCATTGAAATATATTACAAATCTTAATGATTCAGTGATTAATATTAATTCAAATTGAATATCACCTGTGACAATATTTATATGTTCATTTCTTATTTTCTATATAAGAAAATAAATAAACTATTTATTTTTGTCATTCATATTTTCTCACGAGTCAACACAGAAGTGATCACGAACACAAAGATATATTAATTAGTATGATGATTTTCTTATTTAGTAAATGAAATATATCTTCTTCACGTTAATAATTGAATATGGAGCAATTTTTTTTTGTTAACATATAAAAAATTGCGAGATCGTCCTTAAGGGAATTCTTTGAAAACAGCTTATACGAAAAATTTGAAATTTTCAGGGTAAAGAAATTCTGATGAATCAAGCAAAAGTTATTCATCATAGGGTCAAAACTGCCAAATAGTTTCTTCTAAGAGATATCGAGATGACAAGGCCAGAAGCCGCTACCTTCCTCGACTGCAATATGTCTGATAGACCTGAAATTTATTTTACAGATACTAGACACTATTTGAGATGCCTACCTTCTTCTTTTATTTCTTTTTCTCTTTTTCAATTCGAATAAAAAGATCAAAATATTAAGAATACCTCCAAAATTGCATGTTGTTTTTTTGTAACTGGAGATTTTCTTTTTGTAAACCCCGACTAAATCCTACTGTATATTGTACTTTAAAATAAAAAAGAACAATACGCACTCTAAATACTATCTGGCACAAATAGAAGAAATTTTGAGCTCGGTCGGATGTACTCTGATTGAGAAACTGGGACCATTCTGAAATTTTTTTAATTAATAATCTACTGATGGAATAATCAGTTTTCACAATATCATTGTAGGATTCAGCAAAACGGAGATGATTTCTTTAAAAAATATTTTGTCGAATTTCTAGTGTTTATTGACAAGTAACGCTTGTCGTCACGACTTCCTGGACTCTCGACTCAATTCAATCTATCTATCATCTCTCACCATGTTCTGGATTCTGTTTTGAACACTATCGCTGAACACACGTGGTCATACAAAAGAACTATTTAAAATATTGACAGAGACGATCATTTTATAAACAGCCTAAGCCTTGCAATTAAGATCTTTCTAATATGAACCTCAACAGACAACTCCCAGTAGGTTGTCGTCGTCCCTTCAGGCAGCCACTTCCGACTGCTCTATTTCGGATATGATCTGGGTATACTTTCAAGTGGTGCTTCATTTTCTTATTCAAAATATTTTAAGTAGTACCCAAGATACCTATAAAAATGCACTTCTTATAAACATGTTCAACTATAAACTATCTGTAGTCAATGTAATAAGAAGATTAAGAAATTTAAAGTAATGGAATTGATATTTTAGGTAATATAGTAGAAATGCAACTCATAGGCATGCAATGCTAATTCTTTTTTCATAGCTCATCCATGGTCATTGAATAAGACGAATCTTACATACGCGCAATAGCTTATAGACTGACGTTTCGATCACAAAGCAAAGTTTAGTCAACAGTTGGATATTCCCTACATTTGATGAACAGAGAACCAACGGATTGAAAGCCTACGTGTAGGACACCCTGATAGCAAAAATCTCTGTTTCGCTGAAATCTGAGCAGCCGATTACCTGATTGAATCACAACAAAAATAAAGAAGAATCTGATTGACTGAAATCCCAGCATCGAAAAGGCTGATTGGACAAGGGAGAAACAGGAAACTTATCTAATTGACTGACAGTATGACTCAAAGCATAGCCATCTCACATAGTTTATCTGATACTTCAGAAATATATGGAGGCACGCGACTGTACATTTGACTGCAAACAAACATACATACATACATACATACAAACTTATTTGATTTTTTCCATACGACCTTCCTTGTAGTCGAGGAAGGACCATTATTTTCGTGAAAAACCTTTCCCTGACGAAAAAATTCAACTAAAAATTTTGAAAAACTGATTATAGATTTGAATTTCTCACCTTCGATTAGTTTTGATTAAACTTTATAAAAAAAAATATCTATTTCCTTAAAATATATGGGAACATATGACTAAACACGTAGATGCAAACATACAATCAACCAAACGCATTCTATTTAATATGACCCTCTGTTGAATTGAGGGAATAATTTTTTGAAAATAAATCGAATGGCGATAAGTTAGCAAAAATACTATTACCCGTTCTAAAATACAGTACAGTTGGTTGTTCGTTGAATAAATCGAGAGCGGAACAAGTTACCCATATCGTGAAAATCGTGACGATTTTGCCGACTTTCAAAAAACAATCGACGTAAAATCGCGATTCATCATATTTTGTAGAAAAATCAGCGATAAACCAAATCGTTGATTTCAGTATCGATTTTAAAATTGTTAATTAATTAGGAAAACTCTAAAATCTATCAAATCGTGAATGAAGTTTTTTTTTGTATCCAATTTTCCGACATATTCATTGAAATTCAAGGCTGAAAATCGGATTTTTCTTTTTTGTACGAGTGTCGTTATTGTGATATGAATGAGATTGAGCAAATTTGAATGACAATCAAATTGAAGTAAACTAACTTCACATTCATTTCTTTAGTTTGAAGTTGAAACATGTTTTTCATAATGCATAATCGATTTCAGATATTTCTTCCTGATTGAATATATTTTTTTCGGGGAACATATTTTC